GCTTAATGCAATGTACTTGACCAATCAGAGTGCTTAATACAATGTACTTGGCCAATCAGAGTGCTTAATGCAATGTACTTGACTAATAAGAGTGCTTAATACAATGTACTTGGCCAATCAGAGCGCTTAATGCAATGTACTTGACCAATGAGAGAGCTTAATACAATTAGCATCGTTCATCGCCCAATCCATATAGCCGAAGTGCTATATCTTGGGCTGAGATAGCAGAAGAGTTTCATGTTTTTAATTCTTTTGTGTTTAGAACAATACATAATAATTTTAAAAGTATCAGACTGAATTATTGCTCAATAAAATAATTCTCAAATACGACGATAAATCTTTTTCCGCCAAAAATGTCTTTAAAATAAAATTGAATCTTATACACCAGTACGCCTTATATTCTGAAAAATACGGTAATTAATTACTTCCTCAGTCGAAACCGAAAAAATATATCTAAACTCCTAGAGAATAAGTTGTTTAAATATCTCTCCTTCGGAATGGTATTGCTTCTTTAACAGAATAATTTCGGAAAAATTACGAAATACTTCCTCAAAATGTGTCTTTTTTCTTCCATTATACAAACACATTTTTCACCGTTGATCTTATAGGAAAAATAGTTTTCGGAAAGTATGTTGTCTGAGTTCGGTCAAGTGGATAGCTGTGAATGCGCTTTCCAAGGGTGGCCCTCAGAAAACGTAAAATAGTGGTCAAATCCCGCCAATACATATTTGGTTGTCAATCCGGGACGCTGAATTACATAAATAAGGAGTTTCAGGGATCGCTTTAACTATTTCCACTAATGCCATCAGGGAATAGAGACAATGGGTAAATCTGCATAGGTCACCAGAGAAGAGACATGTAGTAAACGTGTTACTTGATCCGCATCTCGTTCCCACCCTTTCACTGTCGAAACAGTTAAATGTAACCACCTCTTCTATTCAATTAGCTTCTTCTCTGGCACTTCCCAACAGTGGAACTCCCTTCCTGATACTTGCTTCCCTGATAGCTTTAATCTTCAAATGTAATGTCAATCGATATGTTCTGATGCCTTGATCCTGATACACGTCCTTCTTTATATCCTTACCTGAAACACCCCTCTTTACTCTTGCTCTCACTCTATGTCACTCTTTGTGTGCTAGTGGCACTCCCGCCTTGCTTGGGGTGAAATGCTTTAAAAAAAAGGAGTGAGAAAGACACTGAAATGGCGGTTCGTAGCAGACACCGTAAGAAAGGCTGCTAGATTATTATCCCAACCTTCGAAAAATAGAAGAACAAGCAAACACATATGTGTGTTGGTCTAATATCAGTATAGTTGTGAACGAGCCATCCAGACTTCAGTACTTGCATCCTGCTGTCAAGCATTAGAACAGAAGAAAGGTAAACGCTAGTCTGAAACACATATATAGCCAATAGCTAAAATAAAGTTTTCTTAAATTCTTGCGCAAATATTCCGGATTTATCTGCCATTATTCAAAGACTTCTATAGATCTTGTGTTTGTTATCTTTATATTTCTATGGCACGCGGCTGGCTTTGTCTCACAACATTTCAGTAAGGACTTATTCAGATTTTATCTGAGTATAACGTGTGTGAAGGAAGTCGTAACCAGAACAATGAGACAGTTTTTAAAAAAGCAAGCCAAGCTTTTCGCAGAGTTCACAAGTATTGCTGGATGAATAAAAACTTTTACGAATGATACGACTTTAGTAGGAAACGGAAACCCAACCTTAAAGAGGATAAAAAAGATAAATCTTTACTCCTGTTCAAAAAACTGGTGAGTAATGTGCACAGAACGACAGGCGAATCTATCTTTTATTGAAGAGAAAAAAATTAGTAAATAAACTTTTAGCGTTCAGGTGGAACCATCAGAAATATAGAGTTGAAGTAAACTTTAGGTTGGACCGGAACCCCAATCCTAAACAAAATACAAGAGATAAACCTGTTTTCTTGGTCAAAAGACCGTCGAGGAGTATGAATGTGACGATAGGCGAAACTATCTATTCCTATTGAGAAAGAAAAAGAATAAAAATAACTAATTAATGAATAAAATTTCAGAAATCACGTGGAAACGCTAGAAGTATAAAGTTGAAGTAAACTTTAGAAGCATTGTGAGGATGAACACACCTCTCCAGAATATGACTTGGACTCATCCAAATAGCATCTATACTGACGCCGAGAATCGTCAGGAGAGAGCTAGCCGGGAGCGATCCTTATACGACAGACTTCAGTAAGACTACGTCGACTCCAAGCGACATGATACTTCATGATTGTGTTATCTTCATTCAGTGGAAAAACATAACAAGAAGGAACGGTAAACCCAATTCTAAACATGAAACAAGAGTGACTTGCATTATATATATATACATTGTTCGCTTAATATTATTTTGCCCTGTTTCTTTTGCTTATCGTTTGAGAACTTTGTCAATTCTGCTTATGGAAACTTCTATGGATGCTGACGTATGAAGGTAGAATATTATTAAACTACCCACAATGATGATTTGA